ATTTTAATGCTAAAGGTGAAAGCACGCTCTTGATTATCTTCAGTTTCTCGCTCACCAAAATACAGTTCTTCGACGCTTTCCAAACAAACTTCCAGAAGAAACTGTTTCCAGCCAATCCCTCTGTATTTTTAAAAGCAAACTAATTTAGTTTTCTTTTTATCAGTAGTTTTTTAATAGTTTTTAATAGTTTTTTTTAATAGTTTTTAATAGTTCTGTATATTCTAGTATAGTTTTATTTATTATTATCTTAGAGTTGGCGTGATGTCCCAAACGATTTTGCCGACATAACGATATTTAGATTTAGATTTAGATTAGATTTAAACTCATCAGTGTGCCATTTCGTGAACGCTCCATCGTAACTGATTAACTGTTTCTGTACTCAAGAAACGATTGATAACACATTCATGCGTCAGTGATGCGTGCAACGGATACAAACATCAGTTAATTAATGACTGTTTTAGCGCTTTTTGAACAGTAAACAAAAAATGTCTTTTTTAACAGAATTCCGAAATTGTATGGTGCTGTTTTGTTTGATTCTTTGTTTTTGCCACGATAATACAGCGTGTTATAGAGTACTAAAGCTCGATCCGAGAATTAAATCTCTATCAGTCACACACTGAGAAAAGAGAAAAAGAACTAAACTAAAAGTAGTCCAAGTGAAATTCTTGAAGACAATCATTTGTTCGATAAAGATCGGTCATTGAATTAATTCATCGAGCTCGATCTAAAGGGGTGAGGGTCAAGCTGCTCGAAGGTGATGTCGTTTGAAGTTATGGCGTCCAAAACCTGATAATATGAGTTTTGTCGCCCAAAATTCACAGAAAAGTCGCCCGCAATCCTCCCTCACTCTACAGTGTTTTTAGCTTACAGATTCTTGTTTTTTTTCGTGCTGTGAAGAACGAGATATAGTACACGTTTACAGCGCTTGATTCGTCTTAGCATAGCGTAACGAGATATCTTCACATAAATTATGATTGATAGCGCTTCGTTCGTCAGGGGCACCGGACGGCGATTTCCTCGACTCCTAAATGCATCCTAGGACAACTTCAGTCTTTTCGAAATTACAAGGGCTTCAGCATTATTTTCCCGAAAAATTTAGCTTCCAATTGAAAGTTTTAGGAAAGTGAGAATTTTATCGTATTTCCGGTTCCGAAAATTTTAGGATTCCTTAATTCTCTACGAAAAATAGCTTAACTTGGGGAGTGAAGTGAAAAAAAATAAAACTTCAGAAAATCGTAAGGAATTTGTTAGATAAGCTTCGAAAATTGTACATGCATGGAACGGTCATCTAGAAATGTTTAGCCTTCCTCAACCTATAGAAAATTCTAGGCAGTTTTTGTTTTTCCGATTTAATTACCTTCGTTCGTCTCGGCATGGCTGAAAGAAATCTATTACACTAATTTATTCAACTTCATTTCTCTGTGCATTACTGCTAATAAATATTCCGGTGGCATAACTATAATTTTCAGGCGACATAACTTCAGTGCCTCGCATGCGATAGCAGGCCTCTTTGCGATTCCGGTCAACAGCCGACAGCCGGAGGAATTGGTTTACACTGATCTCCCGTTAATTCCAGGGTAGACCACCATTAAGTCGTGATTTTCAAATGGCTACGGTTACGATCAAATTCCAAAACAGTCTCAATTGGTATATTTGATTCACTTCGACCAGTTATCAATGCTGATTAAATCCGCTGAAAACCCAAGCCATTTTTATCATCTTAGCAGTTTTAGTAATCAAGCGTGTTCAGCGTGTTTTACCCAAATTGCAGGCTAAGCTTGCTATAATTCGCACACTTACCGTGACATATGGCACGTTACAAAAAAACAAAAGGGCAAGCGTGTTAAATTTACCAAAACAAAAGCAAGTGTGTCCGTCTTTGTTTTTTCTATTTAATATCCGCATATCCGTAATCTACGGCACGCTAAGCGTGTCGTGCAAGCGTGTCGTGAGCGTGCTTTCACCTTTAGCATCAAATTCCTGTGGAGGGTCACAAATAATATATCAGTGCAA